TAATGAATCATTAAGCAAAATATAAGAGAGAGTTACAATAAATCCTCACTACAATTTCTCCCTCATGAAATAATCTCTCTACAAACATAGATCTCTCAAAATAAGTCTCCCTCAATGTTAGACAATATAATGAGCTCCAGAGAGGTTCAGAGGAGATATGGAAGAGATATAAAAATGATTTGGGAAAGATACCCAAATAATTCAGCAAAGGGTCCTTTAAATAGATTTGAGGCCCATCTGACAAAAAAATAAAAAATAAAAAAATAGACTTGAGGCAGAGCACCATAGCGGGCGCAGTCATGGACATCGCAGCGCGACTGTGACATGAGCGGGCGTGGAAGGAAAGAATGCGGGTGTTATTGTGTCATGCGCAGGCACGGGCGCGGGTCTTCATCGCGGGTTGCAAACAAAAGTATTAAGAGCTCATTTTGGTCGCATATTGGACGTAGGCGCCATTCATGTTCATCGCGGGTGCGATGATCTTGTTCGCGGGCGCGATGGTCATAATGACCAATAACCAGCTGTTGTTACAGCCTTTTTGCTCTGTTTTTGTCAACTATTTCAGCCCATGCTTTAGCCACCCTATAGCTCTGACAAACAGCCATCTTTTGCCTCAAAAAAGTCTTGTCTTTACAATGTATGATTTTTCAAAAAGATTCAATCAAGATCTTCCATAATCTGACTTAATGAATCAAGGCAAATCATATACAAATGTTGCCAAACTTTAAGATAGAATTGTAAGATTTCTGAATGATTTTTGTATATTCAATTGTAAAAGTAATACAAGAATGCATCTGATTATATAGTAATCCTAACTCTAAGACTAAAAAGGAAAGAGAATATTTACAATTTCAACATATATACAAAATACATACTACCATATATAGAGATACTCTAATTTTCTCATACCCTATTCAAACTCACAGTGTTTTAGTAGAAAACACTAAGAGTTTACCAAGAAGAAATTGAAACCGAGCAGTGGTGTGAGTCTTGGTAAAGAAGTTAGCAAGTTGCATAGTTAAAGAGACGAAAGGAAGCGAGATAGAGTCAGACTGTAGATGCCGGCAGACAACGTGACAATCAATCTCAATGTGTTAGGTCTGCTAATAGAAGATAGTGTTATGGGTAATCTGAATAGAACCTTGGTTGTCACAGTATAAAGGTGTCGGAGAGAAGAGGACTGAGGGACACCCAAATCAGACAGGAGACAACGAAGCCAGACAATCTCAGCAGTAGCATGAGCCATAATACGGTACTCAGTTTCGGCAGTAGAGCGAGTAACAATAGTTTGTTTCTTGCTTTTTCCAAGAGATCAAGGAATTGTCGAGAGAGATATAGAAACCAGAAGTGGACTTGCGATCAGTAACATCACTAGCCCAATTAGAATCAACATAGGCCACTAAGTCCCAAAAGGAAGTAGGAGACAACAGTAAGCCCTGAAATATAGTACCCCAAAGATAGCAAAGAATCCGAGCCGAAGCAGCCCAATGTGTAGAGTGAAGAGCAGAGATGAACTAGCTAACCACATGAACAACATAGGCAAGATCATGATGAGTAACCGTCGATATAAAGTAGGATCATCCATAGGGACTCCATCAGTAGTGTTAAGTTTCACATTAAGCTCAATTGGGGTATCATAACTCTTAGTGTCAGTAAGACCGGCACAGTGAATAACCTCATTGGCATATTTGGCCTGAGATAGAAAGTAGATTTTGGGAGAACAAGTTACCTCAATGCCAATAAAATAGCGTAGCCCAGATCCTTCATTTTGAAGGTGCAGAAAAGGTGTTGCTTGACCTCAAAGAAAGTAAAAGAGTCAGAGCCAGTGATGATCATATCATCCACATACAGTAACAGGGCAACAAAACTAGCAGAGGTGTGGAGGAGAAACAAAGCAAAATTTTGGTCACAATGATGAACCCCAACTGAGCAATAACTGTCTAAAAACGATCATACCAAACACAAAGAGATTGCTTTAGATCATACAAAGCATGCCGAAGATGACAAACTTGTCCAAGGGAATGGGGAAGGCCAGGGGGAGAATGCATGTAAATCTCCTCAGTGAGATGACCATTAAGAAAAATATTCTTAACATCCATCTAATAAAGAGGCCAATGACGAACAACAGCGACATATATTAAAGTATGAACAGTAGTCATCTTGGCAATAGGGGCAAAGGTCTCCTCGTAATCAATACCATACTCCTGTAAGAAACCTTTCGCAGCCAGGCGAGCTTTGTAGCACTCGAGATAACCATTAGAATGAGTCTTTGACTTTATAGACCCATTTGCAAACTGCCAAATTGTTGCCAGCAAGCAAAGGAACCAGCTCCCAAGTAGTAGTCTTCTGCAAAGTAGACAACTCATCCTCCATAGCTCAAACCCAATTAGGATCCTGACATGCCTCTTTGTACGATTGAGGTTCTGAAAAAGAGTGAATAGCAAACAAAAAGGTGCAATATGAAGGGGAAAAAACATGTTTTAGCAAAACTAAGTTTGATTACCTGTTTATAGATGCGAAGGGGATACTTACGATTATCAAGATTAGAGTCGTCAGAAGCAAGGGGGTCAATAGCAGAGGCAGAGACAACTGGTGGAGGGAGAGCCTTGTGACAAGAATTGACAAGCAACGGAGGAGGAGAAGAAGCAGGAGAGAGAGGAAAAAGAGGAGAGAACAGACTCATGGGGGACTAGGGAAAGGGATTTAGTTGGAAGGGTGGTAGAAGGAGAAGAGGGAACAAGGTCATAGGGAATAGTAAAGATGTACTCATCAGGAGGGACCTCAGAAGGAAATGGATCAATGTGAACCAAACCCTCTTTGAAAACTGGAGTAGTGATAGGAGGAAGCTGAAAGTAAGACAGACGTTCGAGAAAGGAAACATGGCAGGATACATAAAGGCGATGGGAAATAGGGTCGTAACAGCGATATCCTTTTTAAGTAAGACTATAACCTAAAAAGACACACAGGACAGACCAGACACTAAGTTTGGTCCTATCTTACAGGAAAGAAGAACGAAACAAGTAGACCCAAACACACGAAGAGGAGAGTAATTGGGAAGTCGAGAAAACAGAGCCTCATAAAGGAGACCGATCAGAGAGAAGGGGACTAGGCATATGGTTGAGAAAAAATGCAGCAGTAAGAATTGTCTCAACCCAAAATGGAGTTGGAACAGAGGCAGAAAGAAGAAGAGACCTACCTATCTTAAGGAGATGATGGTGTTTACGCTCGGCTTGACCGTTTTGGACAGGTGTATCAGTACAAGAAGTTTGGTGAATGGTACCTAAATTGGCCAAATACTCACAGAACTCAGTTTTAAAATATTCCCCACCCAAGTCAGACCGTAACAATTTAATTGTAGACCCAAACTGTGTGATGATCATAGACTTAAGAATACGGTATATCTGGTAGAAATCGAACTTATGAGTCATTGGATAAACCTGAGTGTAATGGTTGCAATCATCAACAAATGACACATAGTAAGCAGAACCTCTTTTTGTGAGGACAGGAGAACTCTAGACATTAGTATGAACTAAGGAAAACGGTGTATCAAAAATAGAAGTACTTCTACAAAAAGGTTAGACTCTCATTTTGGCAAGTTTACAGCCACGACACTCAGTAAGTTGATTTGGAGAAACTTTACCCAATAAACCTGATTGAGCTAAAGACTATAAGTGATCAGCAGACAAATGCCCTAATCTAAAATGCGACAAATAAAAAGGACTCAACAGAGAATCCAACTGAAAAGAGGAAAAGCAGTCGGAGAAGTAGTCATAGGCAAATGCAAGCTCTCCACCATATAGAGGTCTCCAACTCTACGCCCGGTCTTAATTTGCTACTTGGACATTAGATCCTGCATAAAGCAAAGAGAAGAACAAAAGAAGAAAAGATGACATCAAAACCAGAGGCATCAAGTTAATTGATAAATAATAAACTGACAAATAACTGAGGAACATAAAGGATAGATGGAATACTAACAACAGACATATCAGACGGTAGGATATACCCAACATATAAAACAGACATACTAGACCTATTAGTAGCATAAATAGTAATAGGAAGGGGATGGGGAGTACAATTCTGAAGTAAGGAGAGATGAGAAGTCATATGATGAGAAGCACTAGAGTCAAACAGCCAGACAAATGAAGAGATACCTAAAGAAGACTCAAGCAAATCTAAATGAAGAGAGGAAACAACGGAGGCAGACTGGGATGGCTGGGAGGTATATAATAAACGCTAGAGTTAACCAATATGAGCACTCAAGGAAGGCAAATCAGGATTAGGAGATGGAGCAGATGCATTATAAGCGGTTGGAGTCTAAAAAGTACTCTGAGTAGGAGCTCAGAAGTGTGGCTGAGACTGCGGAGCAGACAAACGTCCCTTCTTGAAATAGTTGTACTTCCAATGACCCCTTTTGATGGCAGAAGGCACACTCATCAACAGTCAGAGACATCGTAATAACCAAAATGCTGAAGGGTTAAAGTGTAATAAACCCTATATAGAACAAAATAGACAAGCTAGGGATCAAAGGGTAATACACAGAAATCTAATGGGGTAAAACCGAAAAATCCAAAACCACAATGTAATAACCAGAAGAGTGTTAGGTCTAAATGTAAAATATAATAACCAGTTGGGGTCAAAATATAATAATCATATTTTTTGCCGTGACCCACAAATATTAACTAGAGTTTTGAAGCCGAAAGAACCAACCTGAAGCCGAGAGAACCAAATTAGAGAAGAGAGAGAAACTGAAGCCAAGAGAACCTAAAGTCGAAGTCAAGGAAGAGAAAGGTCAGGTCTGAAGCTCACAAACCAGCGAGAGGTGTTGCGAACCAAATAGGTCACGATTCTAGCCCTGAATGGTCGTGATTCCGGCGATAACAGATCCAGTACAATGAGAACTTGAACGAAGGTCACACAAGAGCCAAGAGAACTTTGATCGATCAGAGAACTTCGATCAGAAAGCTTCGAACTTCGTGAACACGACAAGAGAGAGAGAGAGAGAGAGAGAGAGAGAGAGAGAGAGAGAGAGAGAACTTCGTGAATACCAACCACGATTCTGGTGCTCTACGACCTGCGACTCAAGTATCACGAACACCCAACAAAACTTCAAGAACCAGATTTGATCGAGGGAGAAAATGACCCACAACTCACACAAAGACTGAAGAGGAATACAATTTCTAGGGTTCTGGTGGTGGTTTTGATACCATGTAAGATTTTTGAATGATTTATGTATATTCAATTGTAAAAGTAATACAAGGACACATCTGATTATATAGAAATCCTAACCCTAAGACTAAAAAAGAAAGAGAATATTTACAATCTCTTAACATATATACAAAATCTATACTACCATATATAGCGATACGCTAATATTCTCACAAGAACATCAGCCACCAAACTTTTCTTTTCACTTTGTTTCTCACCTGCATTTTTTCATCATGTCTTGCAAAAGATAATGATAAATATGAAGAAAAAAGAAGATATTGAATCAATATACAAACCAAATGGGACCAAGAAATAAAGATCTTTGGAATGGAATTGCCAAAATGCATTATAATGCACACAATTAGGATTAAAAATCCTAACAGACCCTTTTCTATGTATGCTGAATTTACCATGCACATGAAGCCATTATTGGGGCAATTGCAAAAGGTTGGCAGACAAGTTTGAGAACATCTGTTCAGCTTTGAAGGCTGCATCTCTGTGCAAATGATGGCAGAAATTAGAGTTTTACCTAGTTTAGTCCTTCCTACTTCTCAATTGTCAAGATGCATGCTTGCCTGACATAAATCACTAATGAGTTTTGGTATTCCTTTATCATTTTGCATTGTACTTTGACAGTTTGCAACTAACCTGCATTGCAGATAATAATGCTTATCTTGCTTTTATTTATCAAATAAAAATAATAATAATGCTTATCTTGATTTCATGTTTTTTCGTGGCCTTTTTATTGAAACTGGTATGGAATTATATATTTATTCCAGCTACAATGTTTTGTGGGAAAAAGCAGTCCTCATAAGGTACAAATTATTTCCAGTTCCCATATAGTGCTAATCAGTCTATTTTATTTACTGTGTACTATTTAGTATTATTTTTCACTTTGATTATTTTGATTATTATTCATTGTCACACCCATAAAACTATTTAACAGTTGGTACTTGACCAAGAATTATGATCGTGCAATCTTCTTATAAGAGGAAAGTAAGAAACACTATGTGTAATCATGTCTTTAGTTTTATTTCTTTCTGTGAAATCCAAGTTATGCTACCCATCCAAATTGGTACTTTACAACATGATGATATGTAAGGTATGTGTTCCTTCTTTGATGACACTGCCACATTCATTCTTGCACTGTTTGGCTTCAATACCATGGGTAGGTTCATGTTTTTTTATATCGATTAACATCCTTATTTGATTTTCAATTCTGGATCACAGGTGAAAGTCATTTTCTTCTCAGAAACAAGGGAGTGTGCGGCTCCATTTGTGCGTCAAGCTAATTTATTGGCCTTATGCTGCTTTGGCATTTGTGCCATGGTGAGAAGAGGAATCTTCCTTTTGGTGGAATGTGTATGTGGATTTTCTTTTCTTTTTTGAGAGAACATATAGGGATGCTTCTTTTTCCTTCCTTTATTTTTTTAAAAAGAAAAAGAAAGATTAACTTCTTAAATGTTCTTACAAGCTTCCTTCAGAATAATTTCTTAGTTTTGTGAATAATATCAGAATTATTTTCAATTATTCCTTTTTTCAGTGGACAGAAGCAGCTATCATTATTCTTTCTTATCTTGGCTTGAAGGATTGATGATAAATGGGGAATTTTTTTTTGCAGCAAAACCAGATTCTTTTGCAGTCACAACAATCTACTTTATGTTAACTTCTGCTTTGATCTGAAGTTGTGCTTCTGTCCTTTGTGAATTTCAATTTTTCTGGAAGGTTGTTATATCTTGGATAAGTGTAGTTATCAAATTTCTTTATTTATTGCAGTGGTCGGGGGTAGAAAACGTTTGTGGTCATGTTACCCATGACAATAATAAAGTGTTATCTGTGAACAAATAAAATCCTACTTATGTTACGATGGAGGAAGAATAACAAGCTCAAATTTGATAGTGAAATTTTTTGTCTTGCCTCACATGGAAAGACTTACACAAATTTTTTCTTTCAACGACATCCTATTTAAATTTCACTATGTTCAATTATATCCTAAAAGGGGATAACAATTTTCATTTCAGTATTATTTGAAATATAAGGCATTTGACTATGTAGGATGTTTCCTTGTAGCTTTATCCAGGCCTCGTACATATTTTGAGCCAAGTCCCATCATAAGCAGGGGCGGAGCTATGTGTAATTCAATTGTGTCAATTGACACCACTGAACTTTCAAATTTTGTTTAAATATATATGAAATTTTGTTTAATAGTTTTGGATTTTAACAAAATGACCCCAGTGTTTGGAGCTATTTATTGTTTAGTGGTGTCCATTTTAAAAATGACCCCAGTGAATCTAGATCAATATCACATATATCACATATATTTGGAGCTATTCATTGTTTAGTGGTGTCAATTTTAGCTCAGTGTTCGTTCATTCATTTGCTCCATCAACGCTTCATTCTCTAACAACCATTGTTGCATTGCCATTGATGCATTCCTTCATTTGTTCTCTCTCTTTCTCCCTCTGAATGACCCCACTGAGGGGAATTCCTGGCTACGCCCCTAATTATAAGATCTAAGTTTCTGGAAGAGGCTTGACAGTTAGATCTGATATATATCTACCCAAGTCCATGCTGCACAGCTTTAAAGCTGTTAGGGTCTGATTATTCATATTTCAAATCCTTTGAAAAATCTTGTGCAAACTTTTAAAAATTGCATTTTATGCTTCTGTTTGTAATCTCAATTAGGATCACAATTGTTCTATATCATTTCATGCTTTTGTTGGCATCTCCTTAAATTTTTATGTGAAGATTATGAAATCGACCTCCAAGCATATTTGTTTCCTCTATTTTGCTTTTGACTATTAAATTACAGCATAAGTTTTTAGATGAAAATCAACTGAGGAAATTTCTTGTCATTGGTGTTGTTGAATACATATCATGTATTGTTATATCACTTTAGTGCATTGTGTATCATGTCTCATGTCTCATGTCATATCATGTATAATAGAATACATTGACATATATGACTATAGATAAATAAATAAAATGTACTTTCATATGATACGTAAATGTTGAAAAAATGAAGTACTAAAGCATATGAAAAATTATCTTTAAAAACTTACAAATTGGACAAAAAGGTCAATATGCATTCATTAGAAACCCAAATATTCAACTCATAAGAAATTGGAAAGAAAATTCAAAATTTAATATAACAGAAGGATTAATGAGATTTCATTGCAAATATAAAAATAACACAAATGGTTTTTGTTTTTCAATTAGGCCCAACTTCTTGATCGCTAGTTCGTTTGGTTACCGGTTTGCAATCAATGACATTCTTTAGGACTTGTTTGGACGAGTAGCTTAAACATACTTGTTATGAGATATATGTTCATAATCTTGGGTCTCAACCCAAATCCAAATGGTCTGTGTGTGTAAGCTCTTTGTTGCTTTCATCTGAATTAGATCCATGATAGTTCAATTTTTTGTAGCGAAGGGAGTGTGGGAATCATTTTTGCTTGTGGATTTATTTGGGTTTGGGTTTGTTCGACAAGTGCGGGCAATGGCAATTGACATTGCGAAATGCTGTTAATAGGGCAAAAGGTCAAAGAGAAGGTATTGATATCTAATCACGAAATACATGTTAAATTGTGATACAATATGAAATTGATACAATACAAAACATATTTCAGAATTCAATCTACCAATATATGAATCCGCAATACATATATTTTTCATAACGATTCTGACAACACTACTTTTCATATTTAATCTGCATTTCTTTTCTGAAATTTTCTTTTCCTTTTTCTACTTTTTTGTTCCTTTTTTCTGGTAGGCATTAAATAGTTCAGAGAAGAATCAACTGTTCCTTTTTTTCTTTTTTGTCAATTTTGCATCAGGCTAAGGTGTTGGCTAGAAAGATTGGTTGCTCTAACCAGCATACTGGACTGTACTTTTGTTTATTACATGTCATATATATAAGGATAAACAATTATTATGTCATATATATGAATATTTAAGTAAAATATTCATTTTTGAAGTATGATGGAGGAGAATAGGTATAAATTTACTTAATTTTTGTTTTATCATTGGATTTCAAGTTATTTTATTCAAACTCGTAATATGTTTCATGTGTGTCTAAGTGTTGGAAAGTGTCCAGTGAGTGTTGTGTCATGTTAGTGTCAGACACGGCACGTTACCTTCTTAGAAGTGTCCGTGCTTCTTAGATTGATACTCATTGAACTTTGTGGGGTTTTAAGGATGTATACACTCTGGAGCTTAGAGTTCTCTTTCATACAAGATGTTGTCTGCTTAAACCTTTTCTGTTTATCTCATTGCAGAGAGCAAAAACTCCAGCACTAGTTCCTGAAGATGCAGATCCTATTTGGTCAGTAGGTTCCAAAACCATTCTATCTGAAAGGATAGGAATGCAACAGAGAATTGGCAGCATCAGGAATGGAATCCACAATCGCCTAGTAGATCCAAGGATTCACCCAGTCTTGCTCTTGGGGGCATTGATGTCTTTTGGTAGCATCTGGCTGTGAAGGAGCCAATCAACTCATCCAAGTCGATCAAATAATCAAACTCAACCAAGCAAAAAAGTAAGTGATGGCATATTGCGCTCCTGGGAGCATTGTTATTGTTTGTTTTCCATCTATTATTATCTTTATCTCCAATGTGATTTCATTGAGCAACAAACAATAAATGTGCATTTTTCTTTGTCATTATTCTTATAAAGTTATTTTTTTTTCGAGTTACGTGTGCGGGCCGCTAGTATATATATAATTATTATTATTGTCTTTATTTTTATATATGTGATGTCTTGGCTGCATATCATTTTTCTTGATTAATTTAGTAACTTCTATTAGTATTTCGTTAGGATTAGTCCACTTACGTGATATATGTGGGTCCTATACAGTTGTTAGGTTAGTTTAAACATGTCTTTGGATTAGGATAGTAGAGTTCAGAATCTATTGGGAAACCCAATGTGTAGGTTTTGGTTACCTAATTGTATGGAACTAAGTTTTTTGTGAGTAGGCTATTATAAATAGTCATGGAGACTATAGGTTTTGGTGAGATTAAGAGGAGGATAAAATAGAGATGTAAGGGTGACAAAAAAATACCGCGAAGGAACCGGGGTTAACAAGGGCTCAACTACTCTTGAGCATGGGATTCGGGTATTGATATGGGTTTTGAGTGTGTTGACCATCTCACATGTATTCTTTATTTTTATTCATATTGAAATCTCTCTCCCGTGGATGTTGGCAATTGGTGCCAACCACATAAATCTGTTTGATTGTTTTTCTCTTTGGTGTGTGCATTGTCTGCTTTCATTCACATTGGTGGGATGTGGTATAATAAATCTCAACATATTCTTCAAAGTTTCCCTTTATTTAGTTCAAATACAGTCACATATACCTTGTGGGAAGCAACCTTTTTTGTTTTTGTGTTTGTTTTTGTTTTTTTTCTTGACGGTCAAGTTATTGCCTATTCATTAGCGTTTTTTTACTGCCCCTAACAGATTATTGTACTGAGTGATAGCTTTGTGCATATCTCTGAATCATCTCATTGAACAATTCACATTTTCCAGCTTTGTAATTTCTAGAGACTCGTCATTCTCATTGAACGGCCCACCTCAAACTCTCAAACCTTAAAAACGATGGAAAAAAACCCTAAAGAAGAATTTTTCTGTCTCCCTCACCACGAATCATTCTTGTATGATTGTTCCTTCATTGGGAATCTATTGCTTGCTAGTTGAAATTGTTTCCCTCACCACCAATCATTCTTGTATGATTGTATTCCTTAATTGATATTCTCTGACAATTTTCTTTCGCATTTATCCCACACCATTTTTTTTTTGTATGGAATCTTTAAAATGATTTTGTTCAAGGACAATATATATTGATTCGGTGGCTCCTTTAGAAAAGGAAATTGTGTCTCACTTTGTGTTGAACTACCTAGAGGCTGGTGGTGTTATGTGTTCTATAGTTCCCAACCTCGAAACCCAAATAATTTTTAGAACCACTGCCGATATTTCTTTTTTTTGGCACCTCTTACAACTAATAATCAAAGTTTTTAAAGGCAAATGTGTAACGCGAGGCATTTTACCTCTTGTGAGGGTAGGCATAAGCCTCAAGAGACATTGAGGCATATGAATTTTGAATTTTGTTTTAAAATAGTGAAAAAAATTAAAAATTAAATATGCTATAAGTACTTTTCTCTGTAAGTCATCAAAATATTTCATTGTAGAGATGGAAGCTTGCCCTCATCAAAGGTAAAATTGGCACTTTTAGCTTAAGGTATCAAGCTTTTCACTCTTACTTGCAAAAAATTCCTTCTTGGTTGACGTTTCTTGCTCAGAAACACGATTCTCAGCTCCCAAGGAAGAAACCTGTAAGAAACTCGCTTCCATTAAGGAAGAAACTCACACCCAACTGAGATAGAACCTCTCAAACATGCAAATCTCAAAGAAATAAGAGAAAAGAAACACAAACTTATTGTCAACTTTTTATTTATACTTTAGCGAAAACAATTTACAGCTGACATCAATCTCCAATATTAATTCATATTTTAACACATAATTGTAACTAACAAACATAAACATCAGTGATCTTAAAATGAATTCACTGTAGTGGGACTTGCATAAGTATTTTGTACTCTTTTTTTAATGCGTTTTTATTTTCCTCTGCTGTCTATATTTTTGCTCAATCACTGTATGAAAATTTCCAGGATGACGAAGATAGACCAAATCGGAGATGCAAGAAGAGAGCGGTGTCAAATCAAGATCGTCCTCCTTCCATCACAGACAGAGAACCAAAAGATGCTTACCAGATGCCACTGTCAGATTTTGACTACGAGTAATATGGTGTTCAAAGGAATCAAGGTTTGACATTAAGCAAATTAAGCACATGGGGTTCTCGAAGTAAAGATCAAAGTTTTATCTCTATTGTGATTATACTGATTTTTGGTCATAGGTGTATCAAGTAACTAGCAAATGGTTGCCCAACATATATACATAGATCATTTAGAAATTATACCACGAATTTTGGGAACCTGTTTGAATTGATAGTTTGTTTTAGTCTCAATGTGTGATTGAATCATAACTTTGGGATAATTTTTGATTTACTTGTTACCTTCAAGAGCTGCATTACCTTTCTTATCTGGAAAAGGAAGCACATATGTGCTTGTATCACTAAGTTGTAAAATTTTAGTGCAAAATTCTCATGAAGTTGATTGAGGAGATATGTGAAATTTTAGAAGGTTAATTCCCATAAAAGAAAATTTTCAACCTGTTTACGACATGTATTAAATGCATGTCGTAGTTAGTATATTCTACGACATTTTTTTTTTTAGGAGCAGTAGTTGTTGATGTAGTGGAAAAGCAATCAGCTAGATCAGTTTCGCGTTGGAGATGAATGATCTTGAGAAAATCATTCTTTTTTGCCTTTGATAAACACAGATCCAACATAACGTCATGAATGTGGCAATAATTGATCCTTTGAGTATACTTCTCTACTTGTACTTGAACCATGCACCTCTGTGCAAGCACACCCAAGTAACGTTTTTCCATATCCATTATTGTTTCATCCCCCTCTCTATCATCATCTACAATTATACCATCACTTGCACACAAGCGATATAGTCTTTCAGCATCTATCTCAAAATCTTTTAGAAAAAGACCAAAATATAGAAAACATGGCTTATATCGATAAGGCAAATCGTCGTAGCTTAAAGCTAACACCTTTGATACTCCTTCGATGTCGCTCTATTTTTGCGAACGAACATTTTGGTATACCATCTCCCATTCCTTTAATGCATTCTTTGCTACTAAAAGTCCACCAAGCACAATGATTGCTAACGGTAAACCAGCACACAGCTTTACCATTTCCCTCCCTAATGCCTTTATATTTGTGTCAAGCGCTCAGAAGTCTACAAAAACAACAAAATGCAAAATTTAAAAACAACAAAAAATATCTTATTTCCTAGAGTCTACAAAGCTACACAAAGGAAAATTCTAATGAATGCTTGCGTCAATAAGCGATAAAAAAGGAAAATTTGCAGACATTTTTGAGACCCAAAAATTGGATGGGGCTAGCAGTTTTATTGACATCATGCAGAGTATGTTTAATTTCAGCGGCCCCTGTTTCTGTTAATATCTGTTCATAGATATATCGGTACTGGTCAAAGTGAAGTGGAGATTGCTGCGTGGTAAGATATCTACGTTTGATCTCCCATGGATCGGTCATCCATTGCTCATCTGCTGTTTCAATACAGAGGACTGTTTCCTCTGTAATACTGTTAGGGGTATACGGTTCTTCAGTCTTAAGGAGAATATCCTTAGCTGATGGATTACTGGTTTGACCTCTTAAAGGTGGAAATTTTGTTGGATCATAGCGAGGGTTGTGACCCCGGCCACGACCGCGACCTCTGTGGCCTCGACTGGTCATTCCTCTTCAGGATGTGATTTCTGCAAATATTCACGGGTTAAGAAATCAGGCAAAGAGTTAGTTTCGCCTTTGATATATTCAATATCAAAATCAAAATTAGATAAAAAACTTTGCCAAGTCAAAAATATCTGTTTAGATGCCAGATTTTTGACATCTTTTTTAAATATCTGGTTAGCAGCAGAGCAATCTACTCCAATGAGAAAATGCTGGTTCAAGAGATCATCCTGGAATTTGATAACACATTTAACAATAGCTAAACATTCCTATTTGATGGTTGGGTAATTTAAAGTGGCTTTATTCCAATGTCCAGAATGGAATCGTAATAGTTCTTCTTTCTGGGTATTGGGATTAAGCTGTTTTAAGATTCCCCCAAATCCTTCATTGGATGCATCTGTTTCAACAATTTTTTTCCAATTAGGGTTTGGTAGCTGTAAACAGGGTAACTGTTGAACTTTAGCTTTAATTCGTTTAACTGCTAAAGTATGTTCTTCCGACCATGGTGGTGGATTCTTTCGAAGCCTGGTATACAAAATGTTAGCATCTGCAGATAACTGATGATAATAATCTCGAACATAATTGAGACTACCTAAAAATCTCTGTAGCTGAGTTTTATCCTTAATTTCATCTGGAAATTTAGAAGCAAACTCCATACTCCTGTTGATAGGAATAATATTTCCATTGGAGATATTATGTCCTAAATATCTAACTGTTGTTTGAAATAGTTGCATCTTAGGTGCAGAAAAAACTAATCCATTTCTGATAATAACATGCTTAAAAATATTAAGATGTTTAATATGCTGATCTATTGATGAGGAAAATATTAAGACACCATCAATATAAGATAAAGCAAATTCTGTAAAAGGAGTAAAAATATCATTCATGATATGCTGGAATTCTGATGGAGCATTTTTAAGTCCAAATGGCATGACATTCCATTCATAATGCCCAAAAGGTACTGTAAATGCTGTCTTATAACGATCCTGGTCTGCAATTTGCACTTGCCAATATCCTGATTTTAAATCAAATTTAGGAAATATGATTGCATCCTGTAAGCGATCTAAAAGATCTTTTTTATTCGGAATCGGATATCTGATCCATTGTAAAACTTCATTTAACGGTTTGTAATTAATGACAAGGCGTGGAACACCTCGTTCAATTTCTGCATTTTTATTAACATAAAAAGCAGTGCAACTCCAAGGAGATTGGCTTGGTCGGATAAGTTTCTTGGAAAGAAGAGTTTGAATTTCGGTTTTACATAATTCCATATATTCCTTTTTCATTTGACTAAGGCGAGCTCTAGTTGGAATATGTTTTTCATTAAAAGTCGGTTCATAAGGTAAGGTTACTGTATGTTTTTTGCGTTCCCAGAAAGCATTTGGAACATCATTACAAACTTCTGTTTTAAATTCATTTTCAAGTATTTTAATTTTCTGTTGTAGAGAAGGTTGTTGTAACCTTTGTTCTGTTGTTAAGAATTGAACTTCTTTTTGTAAAAAATTTATCTGTTTTTCTTTAACAATTACTAGATCACGAATTTGATCTAATTCTTTTGTATATGGTTCTGTTATAAATTCGAAAATAATTTCTCTTCCCTGGATCTGGGAATAAATACCTGTTTGATTAATTTTTTGGATAGGCATCAAAAGACAAAGAAAAGGAGTGCCTAGAATTATGTTTTGAGCAAGATTTTTGACTAATACAAAAGATGTAGGTAGACATAAATCTTGATTACAAATATAGGCTTCTGGAATTTTATACCTGATCTGTAACGAATTACCACTAGCACTGGTCAGGCTTTGGGTTGTTTTTGCAAAATATCTGGTAGGGACTATACCTTCTTGGATACAGTTCATATCTGCGCCACTATCTACTAAAGCAATAACATCTTTGATCATAAAGTCTGGTTTAATCAGAAATGAAATTTTTATATACCATTTCTGGAAAGTAACTTGATTGACCAGTAGTAAATACTGATCAGAGGATTCTGGTTGAGATGTTGTCGCAGGGTTGCTCTCATTTTGTTTCTGTTTAAGCTGGTTATGAAGATATTTGATATCTTTGATAGCAGCTGTACTGGCGGTTTGCAAATGTTTTATATCTATTTTTAAGATATTAATTTCCATTTTTAAATCCTGTATTGTGGTAGGTTTTTCCACGGTAGTAGAGTTTAAATCCTGAATTCTTTTAAATACATCTTGAAGATTGTAAGAGTTAACTGATATTAAGGGTGGTTCTTGAATTGCCTGTTGATGTTCATAACACATTTTTAAGTATTTTATTTTAATTTCTGGATACTGGATCTGATCTGCTACGGCAAGCATATCCTTTTGTGTATCTGTTAAAACATTAATACTGCTAGGTTCTCCTAAATGTAAACCATTCATTTCTACTATTGATTTCCAATAGTTTATTTCTGATATTTGATTCTGATTGGTTGAGCAAGAACATGAAATTTCTTCTGGTTCATCTTCACTACTGGAAGGGGAAACTAATTCATTAATTTCATTTTCAGATGGAGATTGAGACGTACTGCCTGTTAATTCTTCTTCCTCAATGGTTTGAAGAAGTTGTCGTCTAATATCTGGATCAAGATCTAATTCATTAATCTTAGATTTTACTTTAGATTTACATCGGTTAGCATAATGTCCAGTTTGGCCATACTTGTAGCACTTAATATCGGATTTAGATTTTCCTTTACTTTTGTTTGGATGGGAAGCTTTTTTGGAATAAAACTTCTTCGTAGGTTTCTGATAAGATGTTTTGGTAGACTTTTTCCGGATGGATTTAGAAGATTTCTTAGGAGAAAATTTTCTAGTTCCTGGATATTTAATACCTGGTTCATAAGCAAATTGGTCACAGAATTCACCTAATTCTTTTCGTCCAGTTAAATTTTGTTGCTTCATTTGATAATGAAGTTTGAGGTCATTACACATGGAAAGACCTTCATCGATAACAATGGAACATAGTTGTCCATAAGTATACTGTTCGTAAGGAATAGACATCCGGTCATGGCGGTCCCGAAGTTTTTTCCTAACGCGTTCGGCAAAAAGGGTAGGAAGGCCATCAATAAATTTAGCCTTCCAATGGCTACTGTTAGCATCAGGGCGTTGAGTGACCTTGATGAGGAAAACATCTTTGTACCATTTGAAATGGGTCAAAGAAGGGCATCTTAAATTCTGTAAGAGTTCACGACTACGGTCGGAGGAGCTAGTACTAGTACCAACAAAATGAAGAATAATGGTCTGGATAAGAGTGTAAACTGCATCCTCTTGTGGAACAGGTTGTTGAGTGGTTGGATCAAGCTCAACTTTACCAGAAGTAAGAATTTCAGTGTGCTGGAGAGGAGTGAGAATATTATCCCACCACCCTTTTAGCTGGCCAGTAAATCCATTAATAATGAATTTAACAATTGCATGGTCGCTATTACTGTATTGGCGGCAAACGATGGCATACATCATCATCTGATGTAATTTCTTGTAAATACCATATTCGGATTCGCCATCTATATTCCATTCATAGATGGTTTTACCATGGTAGGATCCCTGATCATTGATGTACGTTTCTTCATAGAGTACATCAGGAGGAGTTGGTCGGGCATAATAGTTTCTGGTTGGTGGTAACATAGCTGGTCAGGACCAGCTATGTTACCACCAACCAGAAACTATTATGCCCGACCAATTCCTTCCGTGCTAGTATTACAAAGTTATCATACATGACTTATGCCATTCAAATTTTAATGGATAATTAGTGACTAGTCTTAGAGTATTATGTGTCATTCTCTATTTGGTTTTTCAA